TGTCCTTGTATCCTGACTTAGCTTTCTCTCCTCCCAATTCCTACTTGCGGCTTTCATTCTGGAGAACTCTATCCGGGCTGATTGGATTATGCCAATACCTACTTCTGCCCACGTTTCAAGATCTGTGAAGAGGTCTTTGGCATTGTCCCAGTTAGCCATCTGATTAGAGATCCATTTAGTTACCCCTTCATCCTTGAGGATATTTACGTTGAGCTTGAAGGGGGGTCTATGTCTTTTTGTTAAATCTTCAGACAGGACGTCGAGGACCACAGGATAATGGTCTGACAGTGAAGCCAGTTTATTTTCTACCCATGTGCAGCGGTCCCATGGGGAGCCCCTGATCAGAAAGTAAGTCCAACCGCTTTTTTGGATGCGGGGTATTAGGGGACGGTCTGGGACCGAACGATGAGAACCCGTTATCGTCCGCGTTGAGAATTCGATAAGCATCATACAGGCACTGCATGAGTCTGTTCTTATTGGGCAGCTATGGGGAGTATCCAAGCCTGGGTTGAACACCGTGTTCCAATCCCCGACGAGGATCAGATTTTCTGTGTCAGGGATACATGTGGGGAGAGTTTCAAAGAACTTGATCCTTTCAGTGTACTCCACCGGCGCGTAGACCGACATGATACCCCATTCCTCGTTGTCTATTGCTAATTTCATCCATACCCATCTCCCTGACTGATCTGCGAACTTGCCATTCACTACACAGTCCAGATTTTTATCAACAAGGATGGCAGTCCCTCCCCTGGACCCATCTGCGGGGGCCCAAATTTGGGGTCCATCCCAGTTAAAGAAGCCATTCTCAGACTTATTTTCACTTAATTTTGTTTCCTGGAGGCAGGTAATATGAACATTCTGTGAGTGAATCCAACGTCGGAGGCGAGACTTTTCCGCCTTCGGGCAGTGTCACCAAGTCCACGAATATTCCACGTTGCAAGCCTAATTTTGTTTGGGAGGACCATTGGTTCGATCCTTCCCGTGTGACTTTTGGATGCGGGTGCCACTTGCCTTCAAGTGGTTCTGCTGATCTTTACCCTGAACATTTTTTTTGGCCTTCAGACTGTCACCTTGGGTAGGGGCCTTATCTGCTTGTCCGCCACAATCCAAACTCGCAGCGAAGGCTTCCGACATCAAGACATCAGTTGTCGGCCCTTGTGCAATGCATTCTGCAAGATGTAAGGTTGAGAAGACAACATACACTTTTAATGTTCGGCAGTAGATCAATACCTGTGTCTAATAAGTGGGATAGAGGATGCCAATGGACCTGCTGTTCCTTCCATTTTTGGACATCCCTGAACTCTCTGACTGACCAGAAGGAGATGTGCCATACTTGTTTCTCCCCTTTACTGGACACCGCGATGTGTCTCCCCCTTTTCGGCGCTGTTAGCAGGGCAACTGAGCATACATTCTTCAATACCTGACTTTCCGTGAGCTCTTTTACCCGGTGTACCGAGGGAGGACCTTTAATTGGAATCGCGGGGATAACCAGTGATTCATCCTGGTCCACATCCGTTAGGAACATCGCCCCTTGAGGAGTCAATGCACAGATGATAGGAATTAGAGACTCTTTTATTGAACTGGCCAGACCTTCCTCTCTGGTCAACGTGTTCATTGGCCGACCTGAGAAAAGGGGTTGCCTGGTCCCTCTATGTTGCATACTGTAACGTGCAGACCAGAACAAGAACTGACCTCTCAATACAAAGTACAAGATAACACAGCGGAAGACTTAGATACCAGTGATCCGAACAATCAATGTTGCAATGCAGCTCTGAACATACATCCTCATCATCGTCCCAGGGTGTGAAAGGGGTCTGGCGCTTCACACAGGAAGACTGCGCCAGCCCCACACATACACAGAGTCTTCACCAAGTCTTCGGCACAGGCCCAAATAGTCCCTCATCAAAATGTCTGAATCCCAAATGTCCAGTCTGGATCCAATGTCGTCAAGTCTGGAGTCACAACTCTGTCTCTCTCTGTCGTAGTCCGAGAAGTCAGGTGGTGAGAGGGTGAGAAGAGATGGTGGACTGAGAAGAGGAAGAAGAAGAACTCTCTCTCTCTCTCTCTCTCTCTCTCTCTCTCTCTCTCTCTCTCTC